TGACGATCCGTTGTTGGATTTCAAAAGGCATTTATGTTTAAGGCCCTACAAAGGCAACCATGTACTGCAGCTATAAGAAATTTCTGCATGGTTGACTAACTTTGAGAGATAAAGAAAGAAGTGGTTGCCATTTGAAGGGATGTCACGAAAGGAATTGTGCTGGCTTTAAAAAAATTGATGGAAGAGAATCGGCGAGTTACATATGAAGAAATTCACCAAACATGTCAGATTGGATCGGAAAGCGTTCACAAGATTTTACAAGAACATATTTGCGTGAGAAGGATATTTACGAATTGGATATCGCACGACCTCATCGTCGATTACTCACTTTGTTTATGACATTATTGAAAGTGATGAATCTTGAATTTGTCAATGCAAAAAGGAAGATTCCGTTGACAGGTACTGTTACAAAATAAACCAAAGGCCGAAGAGTTTTTTTTTTAAAGAAATTTGAAACAGAGTGAAGAAGAGTTTGTACCTTATCAGGTGCCATGTTATGTTTGTAAAACCAATATGTCGGTTCGACCGAGTAGAGAATACGTTTAAACAGAATACTAGCGTAAAGTGCTACCTTTCATATGCTCGTATTGTTATTATAGAGAACCAGATACCCTTTTTACTGTAAACGAGGCGCTCTATCGTAGTCATCAAGGGTGACAATGCATCTGCATTTGATTTTTAACTGAGTGAGATGAAGATGTGTATTTTCCACCAGTATCCACTTATCATCAGGTGGAGTGTGTTCTCGGTTGTTACTAATATTCTATAAAAAATAAAACAAAGTGTAGCGATTGAAAAGTGAAAGAGGAGAGTTTTTGCGTCGCTGATTTGTAAACTCTGACGGGGATTATTGTTTATGGTTAAAGAAACTTATTTAAAGAAAATACATTATTTCCCTTAATAAACATGAAAGAAAATTTTGGTATTCTTATTCACCACAACCTTCGAACTTTTTTTTAAAGTGGCCCACTTTATTCTGATGACAGTAATACATGCATTGCTTTACTGTTTGTCTTAAAGATATAAAAACATCACTAATACAAATAACCATATATTATTAGCGACAAAATGTTTAACTGCCAGAACTTCTTTCGTTTGGAACATTTATTTAAATTGGATATATTTATATTCCAAATTTCATAAAGCCAAACATTTCAACCGATCTTTGAATGAAATAATTTGCTTTTAGTTGAATATTTAAATGTAACATTAAGTATTCCATTCTGTGAAATGAATGTTCAATTTTAACCTGACAGCAGTTGGAAAATGTCAAATAACAAATCATTTTCACTTAAATTTAACGTATTCAAGAGAGCAATACAAGTTTTATTTAGCTCATGATTATTGGATGATTTTATTCCGGATAGAGATTTACTAGATTTATTCTTGAAATTATACTCATTTACAATACAAACTTATAACAGCTATTATAATACATTTTTATAGGAGAGGGGGCAAACGAATGTACCGCTCACCTGATAGTAAGTGACTACCGCCACTTATAAACAACTGCAAAACCAGGGGAATTGCAGGTGCGTTGCCAGACTTTTAGAAAAGAGTAAGCTCTTTTCTTAAAGGTCGCTAAACCATATCGGTCTGAAAAAATCGCCGGTGGTAAACTATTCCAGAGAGAAGTCGTACGCGGACGAAAACTCCTAGCAAAACGTACAGTGGTGGACCGCCAAGCATAAAGATGGTGTGGATGGTATAGGGAGTTTTGCTGCAATGTGCCTCCATGAAATTTGGCGGCTGAGATCAATCCGAACAATTGCTTAGAGTATTCCCCGTGGTAGAAGTGAAAGAAAATGCAAAGGGATGCAACATCTCTTCACAGCGCCAGTGAATCAAGCCGATCGGAAAATACTCGGAAAAAAATAGTCGTCGAAGATTCGAGCCGCTCTGCGTTGGATGCGGTCAAGTGAATGTAAATGGCTCTAGGGAGCTCCAGCCCAGAGATGTGAACAGTATTTCATGTGAGGCCGAACCTGCACCTTGTAAAGTTGCAGGCTGTGTGCCAGCATGAAATATTGTTCTGCTCTGGTAAGCACGCCAAGTTTTTAGAGACCAATTTGGTCACCTTCTCTTCCAGGTGACCACGGAACTGCACGTCACTCGATATGTCGACGCTAAGGAATTCGATACTAGCCGAGGTAATAAGGGGTGTGCCTTGAAACTGCAGAGATAGGTACGACAAAGGGGTTCTTTTAGTGGTAAAAACGCAAACTTGTGTCTTCTGAGGATTAAAATAAACTATATTTAGTCGCCCTCAATCCGAGACTTTGTTTTTTTTTTTATAGAAGAGGGGGCAAACGAGCATGCGGCTCACCTGATGTTAAGTGACTACTGCCGCCCATGATCAACCGCAACACCAGGGGAATTGCAGGTGCGTTGCCGGCCCTTTAGAAAGGAGTACGCTCTTTTCTTGAAATAATAACATAGAATAGACAATAGAAATGAATTAGCGCTCGATTACTTCCAAAACCGATTTCACCACATCTTACCGTATTATAAACATACGTAATGCACAACGATATCTAATGTTTCACACTACATTGCTTGGCGAGTTTGTCAACGTCGCGTGCGTCGCGTATTACGGTAGAACAAAAGCAGCAATGGTAATTGTAAAATAAGAAAAGTAATAAATAAAAGTTTACAAAGATAAATATCATAGTAAAGTATTCATCTAGGAGAAAATTAGTTAAAACAACGATAACTAGTAAATAATCAACTTACCGATGAAATGTAATGCCTGTAGTTATGCTGTATTAGTTGAATACCTTCCTTGATGAGTTTTTATAACTGATTATGCTGTAGTTCACCATTATAAATTTATAATAACATAAATTCACGTACGACGTTCCTCGCGTAACTAAATCACAAAATAGTGAATGATGTTTGTCATCACATCATAGCGGCGACAAGGTCACGCGTCTATGCGACTTCTATTGTCTTATTATTACCAAACCCGATCGAAAGCCTTCGAAATGTCCAAACTGACGGCCAATGCCTCCCCCTTGGACTTTACTGTCTCTGCCCATCTATTAGTCAGGTATACAAGAAGATCATCAGCTGATCGACCCCGAAAAGTCAAGTTTTAAAATATTCCAGTAAAGGCATCCGTAATAAATAAAACAGGCACTTACTAATAAATACAAGAGCTCACCTTGAATTGTCTTTGTCGTTGAGATAGAATACTAGCGGCACTGCCACGCTAAATGATACAATATCTAATTGCACAAGAAAATAACCTAGAGTAGGGAACACCTTCCTTTTGTCGAAGAAGTCCGCCCAGTTCCTTAACAAAATCCTTTGCTTCAGCTGCCCGCACACCAGATGTCAAAACTACTAACAGAACTGCGAACTGCGAGTTTTCAACCTCGCAGTTCGCAGCACCAGTATTGTGGATCGTCTCGTTCATGTGTGAAGCTGCGTTGGTACTCACATAAGTCGCGTACCACACAAAACTCAGACCTCATACCCAAGGTACTAGAGTGAGACCGACCAGCCTTTTTCCATTTGTGCGACTCAGTCAAGGTGAGTTATAATTAACATAATATTATATATATATATATATATATATATATATATATATATATATATATATATATATATATATATATAGTCAATATATGTCATTGATATAAGAAAAATCAACATTTCCTCATAATTTTTTAAGTTTTCGCAAAGGCTAAACATTTAATTAAAACTATTTTCGTCGGGAATATAAAATAAGTTAATATACGCAATAAAATCAGTAACAACAAGTTTTATTTAAACTTTCCTCTTCTAAAAGTGAGCATTGGTTTTAACAACCCTTAGCAGTACATACATAAATGACTAACAAGTTATCTGAACCAGAACAAGTGTCACGTCCCTGCGACCTCTAGTTACGTAGTCATGGTCTATTATAATTTCTTAAAATGTTGTTCTTCTTTTTTGGCTTGCAAAAGTCCACTACTGATTTTTGGCCTCTCATATTGTAGGGAGGATCTTAATCGTCACGCTTGTGAGACGGGTTTAGGATCGCAGTACCAGACCTTTTACAACTTTGAAGCTGCTGCCCATCGTCGGTCTGAGTATTATGCGTCTAACGTAAAAAATAGTTATAACGCCATCTATCGCCCGAACCTAATAACGTATCTCTTTTTTAAGATTAAAGACAATCCGAGATTGTACCCTATACAAAGATCGATCCAAATCCACATCCCAATAACATAAATTAACAAGCCCAATCTTTCTTTTCTGCGGCGATGGCAGTCGATCCAAACAGATGTTTGGATCGATCCGTTTCCTGTCGACTGTTTCGTTTTATGCATAGTTCGTTTCATTCAAATAGTTGTATTAATATAAAAAAAAAAGTAAAGTTACAGCCTATATACGTCCCACTGCTGGGCTCAGGCCTCCCCTCATTTCTGAGAGGGTTTAGGGCGAGGAAGTGTCCGCCGCGCTGCCCAAATGCGTGTTGACGAACTTCACATGTCTTCGAAATATTTTTTTTTTCTTATTCCTCAGACATGCGGTCTCACGATGTTTTCCTTCACCGCCAAGCCGTGGTAGCTTAATTGCAATTAACAATTTCATTGGTGCCGGCGGGGATCGAACCGGGTTACTCGCGTTCTGTTATATTTGTATCGCGTTCTGTTGTATTAATATAATAACATTAAATGTAATTTTAAATTTATTACTATTGACTTGTTACAAGTTATTATTACATTAACTCCTTTTTTCTCTCTAAAATTATAAAATGATTATATTTTTATTTAAATCAATGTAACTATAGTTAGAAAACAATCACGTAACGAAACGCCGCCGGTCAGTAGCGGCCGCAGCGTCATCGCTCATCGCGTTGTTCAAAAAAATTATCAAGTTTAACTGCTTCGGTTCGATTATTTGTATTCGTAATTCTTGACAAACATTTATACGATACAAACCTTTTTTCGAATTAAACTAAACTTTGTAACAGAAATATTTACAGCAAATACATTGTGAATAACAAAATAATGGAGACACAAATTGTAAGTTATATCGTAATACATTAGATATTGTATCATTTGATGCTTGGTGGCAATACGTATCTTTTACATTATGTATAACTACATATATCGCTTTTTATTTCAGATAAAGAGCAAGCCATTTTCAAGAGATGAAAACAAAGCCTTACTCGAACTTATTGAAATGAGCAAAATTATAATGTCTAATGCCACAAACGCCAGCAGCAATAAAATGAAAGACAAAGAGTGTGTACGAATAGCCGAGCAGTTTAATTGGGTTGGGTTTACAATTAGGTATCCTGAGTTTGAGGATTCTGTCACTGTGGGGGGGGGGATCAAGGGGGTTTATCTGAAGCACCCCCACGTGATTTTTGCTGCCGTAGCAGCGTCGAAGTATTTTTAATTATTTTTTTAATATATTTATAAATAACTAATTAATTAAATATTCTCACGTTTTTGACGTTGTATCTGTCAATGTCATATATGTATACAACATGTAACAAAAACCCTGTGGTTCCCGTTAACTGCGTTATCAGAATCAGTATGCAAACCTATAGAAATAACTTTTTTCAAAAAAACACATTTAAAAAATTATTTTAATGAAAAAAAAATAATTTGAAATTGTGTTTATTCCTGAGGGAATGGGGGTCTTTGACAATCCTCTTGCTCTCGGATAGAATATTCTTATTTTTTTTAATGTGTTTTTTTGAAAAAAATTTCTTAAGTGGATTAATGGGGGGGTTTTAGTTACGTGTTGTATAGTACTGCATCGATCTAGTTAATCGATATTTCACCCTAGAGAATCGAGATCGAATCATTTTCGGTTTTATTAAGAAAAAAAACTATAAAATTATTTACAATCAGTTAAATGTACCCCATGTATAATTTTTGCGAAATCGATCATTAAGACTTCGACTTTTTGTGAATCGATTCATCCAATTTCGATTTCAATCGATTTAAAAATGTCTAAAATTAATCGCTAGGCTGGTAGGCTAGCCATTTTGCTAACAGTGACAGACATACTTTACGTCATGCCGTTGCTTCATAGTTTTATGCCGACTGTACATGCTCGTCGAGGCACTACGAGACAGGCCTAGTCACATTGCCAATATTAGTACCTTTGTACAATTTTATACAGTCACAAAATATGTAAGTACCTAAGTATTATTGTCCATTACATCACATAATTTTTATGATCCTATGTGGATACACAAAAATTAACTTAATACAAAAAAATATTTATTATTTATTTAGACTAATTATATGTCTATTTATGTACAGTAAATATTTGTTTACACTTTAAATGTTTATTCACAAAGAAAACTATACATGTTATAATGTTTTAACAAAAAGCGCAAAGTTTTTAAGAACATAGTTCACAGACACGAGACAATAACATTCGTCAATCATCCCTTGCATTTGTTAACTGCCTAATATTCTATTAGTAAGTAGAAGCACAGTCAAGGTCGCAATTTCTTTAAAAAAAAAAACATTATCATAACGAACTGTAAGTCTTCCCAATTGCATATAAATTCGCATGAAAATTTGCATTTAAATAAAAAAAACCACCGATTACTATATTGCCGTCTCTTTTTATTATCAGAATCAGAATATTTTTATTGCCAATAAACTGTGTATGTACAATTTGCGGGTGACATTGCAATTAAATATTACACGGTTTACCCATATCGGGTATGCAATAATTAAAAAACAAAACTTAATTTAAATTATTTGGTATTAAAATATTCATTTAAATTATAAAAAACATTATGTATTAACCATTTTTTTAGTTGTATTTTAAATTTTGGCAAGTCCATGGCTTTTATATGAGGTGGCAGATGATTAAATATTTTAATACCTGTGCAAAAGGTGCTCTTATAATACATATAATTATTTATTGTAGGTGTACATAAATTATGCTTATATTTAGTGCGTACTGGACGTGAATTCCCGTTAGATTTAATCTGAAAATAGTTGCATTCTGTTTGATAAAAAGTGATATTTCTAAAATATAAATATTAGTACTATAGTATTAGCTTATCTTGCTTAGCCATACCTATCCCGAAGGGACTCTTAAGGAAGGGTTAGAATAATCTAAAAAAAAAAAAATAGTCCCGCTGGGTTTCTTGCTGGTTCTTCCCAGGACAGAGGATTTTTTTGCGAACCAGTGGTAAATGAAAAAAGTGACTTTCAATAAGTATTGTTATAATCTACATTGAATAAAAAAGTTTCTGTTTCTGTTTCTAGTGGCAGCCATAAATTATGTTTATAAATTAAAGTAGTTATAAAAGTTAATATTTTTGTGTTATATTGAGTACAATAGCGAGCGAAACGAGCCTGGGAAGTGGGGCACCCCGACACGGACAGGTTAGGTTAGAAGGGGATGACGGGACCGAGTGAGCGAGCAAAGCGAGCGGTATTTCTTTAGTAATCTGCTGTACGAACATAATATGGCTAAGTGGGCAGGTTGAGTGGGAGGGAGAGGTAGGAACCTCCCCCTAAAAGAGGAATGTGCCGGACCCCCCCCCCTTTTTATAAATTTTTTTTAGTAATCTGCCGCATGAGTATATGATCGCCGAGTGGGGGGCTGGGGTAGGAACCCTCCTAAGTGCCGGAAATCTCCCTTTTTTATGAATTTAATTATGTTACATATTAAGGCAAAATCGCTTATTATAAAAAAAAAGATCGTCCGGCGAAAAAGTCACATTCGGGTCCCTGGGAATGTGGGAGTTTTCAGGGTAGGAAAAAACCGTGGGAAAAGCCTCTGCTGTCCGTCACAAAAAAGTCAAGGTCAGCAAAGGTCAGTCACCAAATTGAGGTTATGTCTGCAGTGTCCTGTGTTAACTTCAATTAACATCAAATAAAGAAAAAGGCGTTGTCCGGCCTTCTCCTGCGCCCGGTGCGCCTTCTGCGGCCATGGAAGGGAGTTGAGATCTCCCTCTGCCGTTCCGCAGTTTCCTTCTGCGATATCACGTCCTCGCAGAAGGACACCACTGCGTTCCACGATTCTGCGCTACCGAACATCCTCCGCACTAAGGCCGACAGCGACAGATCGCCTCCTACTTCATTTGTGAGGACACGGCGCTGCTCCTCCCAAGCTACACACTCGGCGAGCGTGTTGCGCCATGTCCTCCCCGCAATGGACGCAGTGGTGGCACCGAGCGTCCGGCTCCCTGTCTATGCGGCACAGGTACTTGCCGAAGCAGCCGTGTCCCGACAGCACCTGCGTCACCCTAAACGACAGGGAGCCGTGCCTTGTCCCGAGCCAGTCGTCGAGTACTGGCCGGAGCTGACGAGCGAGGCCGGCGGTAGGGCGCAGAATCCTTTGCCGCCATTCCGCCACCAAGACCTGACGAAGCTCCTCTCGGCACAGCGCGATCTGCCACTGCACCGGCCTCGAGCCCCGTCATCGATATAATGACGCGAGTACCTTCGCCTGTAGGTCTTAGGGTGGGGATCCGGCCAGGACGTAAGCCGCTTCGTAGGAAATCGTGCGATACCCGCGGACGACTCTGACGGCCATCTGCGGTTTGCGCAGAATGGGGAGAGTGCTAGCCGTCATGTCCATCGCCCACATAAAGCCCCCATAAAGGGCCATGGACCGCACGATTCCCACGTACAACCACCTACAGGCGGCCCCTAAAATTGGGAAGCAACGTTGAAGCGCGCCTGCTGCACGCATCAGCTTGGGCTCCAGCCGCCGGAAGTGGGGTCCGAATTCCCATCAGCTGTTGAGCACCAATCCCAGGTACTTCATGGTGGACTTGACAGCTATCCGGGCCCCGCTGACCACGATTTGTGATCCCGGTGGCGGCGCGCGTGGAGGGCCATGGAACACCATGGCCTCCGACTTGTTTAGGGCCACCTCCAGGCCGAGGCGCCGCATGCGGTCCACCACTTGTTAAACCGCAGCCGTGGCAACCAACGCTGCTTTCCACAGTTCTAACCTTTTTTTTTTTTACGGGGGGGGGGGGGAAATCCTCATGGACTGCCTCTGCCTGGGGACAGGCGGAGGGGTGTGCCGGACTCTTACCGGCTAAAACCACCCCGGTGTCTCCTCGCACGTGCACGCGCGGGGCCGCGAGAATCCAAATTCTTCCGCAGCCCCACACTAGTGCTGGCCCGGTCTGTACGGGCCTCGTCTCCTGCACGGGGTAGTGAGGTGTTCAACTACCCCCTGTATCACCTCAGAGGCACGCGCCGACACCCACGCGTGCCTCCGCCTCGGGTCCATCGAATAGGGGGGCGGGGGCTTCCCCTAGTCCCTCGCCCCTGGACTTATTCATGGGGGCTGGAAAAGGGCGTTGTCCGCCCTTCTCCTGCGCCCGGTGCGCCTTCTGCGGCCAGGGAAGGGAGTCGAGATCTCCCTCTCCCGTTCCGCAGTTTCCTTCTGCGACATCACGTCCTCACAGAAGGACACCACTGCATCCCACGATTCTGCGCTACCGACCATACTCCGCACCAAGGCCGACAGCGACAAATCGCCTCCTACTACATTTGTGAGGACACGGCGCTGCTCCTCCCAAGCTACACACTCGGCGAGCGTGTGTTGCGCCGTGTCCTCCCCGCAATGGACGCAGTGGTGGCACCGAGCGTCCGGCTCCCTGTCTATGCGGCACAGGTACTTGCCAAAGCAGCCGTGCCCCGACAGCACCTGCGTCACCCTAAACGACTGGGAGCCGTGCCTTTTCGCGAGCCAGTCGTCGAGTACTGGCCGGATCGCCTCGACGATAGCGAGGCCGGCGGTAGGGCGCAGAAGCCTTTGCCGCCATTCCGCCACCAAGACCTGACGGAGCTCCTCTCGGCGCAGCGCGATCTGTCGCTGCACCGGCCTCGAGCCCCGTCCCCGCTCTTCCTCGCGCCATCGATATAGTGACGCGAGTACTTTCGCCTCTAGGTCCCAGGGCGGGGATCCGGCCAGGACGCAAGCCGCCTCGTAGGAAAACGTGCGATACCCGCGGGTGACTCTGACGGCCATCGCCCTCTGCGGTTTGCGCAGAATGGCGAGAGTGCTGGCCGTCATGTCCATCGCCCATACAGGGGCCCCATACAGGGCCATGGACCGCACGATTCCCACGTACAACCGCCTACAGGCAGCGCTCGGGCCCCCAAGTTGGGAAGCAGCGTTGAAAGTGCGCCAGCTGCACGCATCAGCTTGGGCGCCAGCCGCCGGAAGTGGGGCCCAAATTCCCATCGGCTGTCGAGCACCAATCCCAGGTACTTCATGGTGGACTCGACAGCTATCCGGGCCCCGCCGACCACGATGTGCGATCCCGGTGACGGCGCGCGTCGAAGGCCACGAAACACCATAGCCTCCGACTTGTTAAGGGCCACCTCCATGCCCAGGCACCGGATGCGGTTCACCACTTGTAAAACCGCAGCCGTGGCAACCAACGCTGCTTCCCTGTGCGAGCTCCCCCCGGGCAGTGACGAGCGTGTCGTCCGCATAACAGGTCAAGTCAGCGCCCGACGGGAGCTCACCTCTCAGCACCCAGTCGTAGCCGATGTTCCACAGGAGCGGTCCCAAGACCGATCCCTGCGGAACACCGCACGACATGACGCGTCGACCAGCGCTGTCACGTCCCCAATACGTGACGCATCTCTCCTCAAGGTAGGCCCCTATTGTGCGGCGGAGGTAGGGAGGCACGCGATGGTAATTAAGCGCTTCCCAAATACAACTCCAGGGTAGGGTGTTGAAGGCGTTGGAGATGTCTAATGACACCGCCAGCACCACCCCACCCCGGGATACTGTCTCCTCCGCCAGGGCCCTCACGCGCGTAATAGCGTCTATGGTGGAGCGCCCGCGACGAAAACCAAACTGGTTCTCGTCCAGGTCTGGCCCCACTCTGCACAAGTGGCTGACGAGGCGATCTGCGATGATACGCTCAAGAAGTTTGCCCGCCTCGTCGAGCAGCACTATGGGCCGGTACGCGGACGGTGAGTCCGCGGGGGCGCCCCTCCTTCCTGAGTAGGACCAGCCTTCCCTCCTTCCACACACTGGGAAGCTGACCCTGCTCGAGACATGCCGTGAAGAGCCCCCTCAGCTGGGGCTCCAGCTCCTTCAGAGCCAGGACGAGAGCTCGACCAGGAACTCCGTCGGGTCCGGGCGCTGTGTTCTTGGCCCGAAGTCGCGTCATGGCCGCTCTCATCTCTGCTTGCGTCACCTTGGGGACATCGGTGCCTCTGGAGAGTCTGTGGCTGAGGGCGAAGCCATCGCCGGGGGAACGTGTCCCACTCGTTCAGGGAAGAGAACTGATACCACCGTCTCTAGCAACTGGGGTTGCATTGTTTGCGTTAGTGGAGGCGCCCAGGAACGCAACTTGCCCCGTACCCAACGGTAGGGGCGCCCCCACGGATCCCGATCTAGGGACCCCAGCAGCTCCTCCCTGGCACGCGACTTCGAGTCGCCGATGGCCAGCCACAGAGTCTCCTTAGACGCGCGGTACACCTCATACAGCGCGTCCTCCTCGGCGGAATCCCGTCGACGCCGTCTCCGGTATCGGGTGTACCGGCGTCGGGCCGCAACGCACGCTATGCGCAATTGCGCGATCTCGGCGGTCCACCAGTACACCTGGTGCCTTGCGGACCGTTGGCGGACACGGGGCATGGACGCGTCACAGATCTGCGTCATCGCCCCGCGAAACCATAGCGCCACTGCTTCGACGTCGACGGTACTGTCCGTTGCCGACTCCCAGATCCAGGACTGGACTAAGGCAGCTTCCTCGAGTAGTTCCCCTGTCGATGCGCTTAAGCGCCCAACGCGGGCCGTCGTTAATCGGGGTAGTTGGATGGCGGCCTCTCGCAGTCTGGGCAGAGACGTCGAACCGGATATACCGATGGTCCGACAACGTCTCCACCCCTACGGCGACACGCCAGTCGCGGACTCGGCTGGCGACAGAGGGGCTGGCAAACGAGACGTCCACTATCGACCCGCCCCGCTGCCGCACGCACGTGTATTCCGAACCCCGATTCAGGACGACCAGACCAGTTGTCACTGTCCACTCTTCTAGCACCTCGCCCCGAGGATCAGTGACCGGAGATCCCCACGCTGATGACTTTGCGTTGAGATCCCCGAGCACCAGAACGGGACGAGGGTGATAGCGGCCTACGACGGCGCCCAACTCGACAAGGAAACCCTCAAAGTCGGCGAGACTCTTGTTGGGGGAGAAATACGCCCCCACAATAACGATACCACCCGAGACCGCAGCAACCCAGCCACGGCCCCGAGACGGTTCGATCAGAGTCTCGCCAATAATGGCCACCAAACCGTCAGCGCATCCCAGCCAGTTGTCACGGGCGGGAATGAAGTACGGTTCGGCGACCACAGCCACGTGAATCGACCACTCTGCCAAGCTCTGGAGTAGGAGATCCTGAGCTCTGGCACAGTGGTTGATGTTGCCCCTGGAGAAAATGGAACTTTGCCATTATTGGCATTCCATTTCCTTCTCAACGGTCCTGGGCCGGGAGTCGCCCGCGGAGCTACTGGCCTGTGTGGGCAGCGAGGTTAACTCGGCAGGCTTGGTGCTCCTCTTATTTTCTTTTTTGGCCTTGGACTTGCTGGTAGGCGCCCCACAGGCCCCTCCGCCTACTCTGTGCTCCGCTGGCCTTCCCGCAGCAGAGCAAAGGCTGCAGTTGAACGCCGCGATGCACAGGCCCGCCTTGTGGCCAGGCTGGCCGCAGCGGTAACAAAGGTCACTACGGTCAACCTCGGCGGTGCACTTCGCCCGGACGTGCCCTTTTTCAAGGCACCGGAAGCACTGCAAAGCCCGGGGCTGTAGCAGCTTCGTCCTTGCCGCCACCCAGCCTACCAGCAATCTGCCGCTATCGGCGATCTTCGTTGCCGCCGCTACAGGGCACCGAACCCAGACCGCGCCAAGTCCGGTGGCATCGGTGCGTATATCGCCGGCCCGCACCTTGTCCGGCGGACACTCTCCGCTTCTGGCAACGGCCGCCACCACCTCCTCAGATGTCACGGAGTCGTCCAGGCCAGCAATCCGCAATTCTGCGGTTTTCATTGGTCTGGAGACCCGGACGTCCTCAGGGTTGAGGACCTCTCTCATCTTGGCGGCCAATGCGTCCGCCTTTTCGGCACTGTCGCTCACAGTGCCAGCCACCTCGAACAGCCGCGCACCCGTGGCAGCCTGCCTGAGGGTGACGGACTGAAGGCCAAGATCTGATAATTTAATCTTGGCCTTGGCCTCAGCGATGACCGACTGGTACGTCACGCCACGCTCCACAGCTCCGGGCTGCAATGTTATTGTCACCGCATTGGACCGCGGAACACGTACAGCCGATTTCTTGCGACCGCCTTTGGCACTCCGCCGCTCAGGTTGAGGAGCCGTCTTTGCGGTTCCACCTGGGGCATGTGCAGCTGCTGCGGCCTTCTTGCGGCTCACGACTTTCGCCCATGTCTCACCCTTAGACCCGGCCCTTAGCCCACGACAGCCGGGAGCTCCCTCCGCGGGCTTTTTTTTACCCTCCATGGGCTTCCCCTTTTGAGGCGCAAGTCTCGGCGGCTCCTCAGTTCTCCGCGTGTCAGCTGCCAAAGGCGGACGTAGGGTTTCCGCCGGGAGACGCCGAGAAATCGCCTCCAGCCGAGCGTTAACCATGCTCCCGCACTGGAGCATGCAGAGCCGGACAATGCGCTCGACCTCTTCGTCGGTACGAGGGCTTGTCGGTCGCGGTGCGGGAGTCGGGGCAGTTCTAACCTAACCTAACCTAACGGCAAGCGCCAGGTTAGGTTCGGTTGCGCCTAACGGACCTATGTTGTGTTCTACTCATTATGATTTTTAAATTAGTGGATATAACCTCAAAACTTTAACTATCGATACCTCGAAAACTAAAGATTTCCGGCATAAAAAGCAGCTAGCTGGTAATCAATAGCATCATTGCCTGTCAACTAAAGCTAAAATGATCACTTAAATCGCATCAGCATCAGATTACTAAAGCCGACCCGCGGAGCTCCGTCGACCGGGCTTCCCTCGAATGCACCACGTTAAGTGGCCTGGGGTTTCCGTCCCCCAAATCTCTCTCCCCATAAATCAGGTTAAAATTGTCATAAAAATTACGAAACATAAACTCAAAATGAGATTTTGAAAAATTTATAAAAAAAAAACTAAGCACTTCCGGCAGGAGGGGGAAGTAATGGGTGACTCTACAACTCCCTAATTCAGGCGACTTAATTGTAAACCTTACCTGTTTAATGCTACGGCAAAAAGTTGTCGTCGGACACCACAGCTTCGACTGAAATGGGAGAATTTAAAGAAGTTAAATTATACAAGTGAGTTTCATTGTTTATTTATTTTTATACTTAGATATAAATAAAATATTATCCATTTTATTTACATTCATTATTAATTTCATCTTTTTGATTTACAGTGTGTTGGTAAGTGTACACCCCCAGACTAAATACTGGATCGTGGTACCGGCTGGGGTTGTTAAGGAACCTGAGCGCTTTGTAGTGATTTGTGATGGTGGTGATATTGTACCAAATGGTGATGGTGTAGAGGAATTAGGGGGTGATGCTAGGGTCAATCTAGAAATCCTAGAGTTTCAGGACACACCAGTGCCAGATCCGCAAACGGAAATGGTTGTGACCCCTACTTCTCCACATTCAGCAATGGCTCAGGTTAACACCTGTGCTGTTGCTGAAAAAATTAAAGTTTCAGATACACAACTGTGAGTAACATCCAATGTTCCTAAAACAGGTAATGGTTATTTTGATGTTGATAGTTTTAAGTTATAAGATAACAATTTCACATCGTGTTCCTTTCACTGAGGTGGTGGTATGGTAGTCCGCTTTAGTTTAAAAGCAGTGTAATTTGAGGAAAATAGTAATATGCAAAAGATATACTCCTTTTTTATTTAAAAAAAGGCTATAACTTGTAATTTTATAAATTAAATTAATTGGTATTTTTACAGGTAAAAGGAAATTGTAGGGTGATGGGTCCAAATCTGTTAGAGACCATGCCATTGCAGAATATTATACATTTAAAAAACTGTGCCTGGAGTCAAAATTAGATAATATAAAATTAGAAAATAAAAAACTTAAATAAGAAAATGAAAAACTTTTATTAGAAATAGAAAATTTTAAGAAATAGTTATTTGTGTAATAGTATGTAAGTGTAGTAGTATGTTGTATGTATTCATGATTTGTAATATTAGTAGTTATATAGTTTGTATTTGAAAATCTTTTAAACTAATAAAATATGTATGTAATAAATGTATTAAAGGCAAATAGACAGTTATATAATGATTTCTTATATTTACGCGAACACTATACATTGATTAAAACTACTTTTACGGATTTTATCGCGTTTTATTTATATTAATTTTAATACCCGATGTTTCGGGTGCTTTCCAGCACCCATGGTCACGGGGGACTGAGGTGACTGACGTCCCGATGTCAAAGTTAACCCGGAGTACCTTCAGCTTTTTAATTATTGTCTTTGGTCCGATCTACGCAGAATGAACTAACTGTATTTTGAAGTCTTGCAGTGGTATGCTTGGGTTTAGTTTTAATTTGATTAATTATAGGATCCCAAGCAGGTGGTAGTACCCAGCCTCCTTCTCTATTGAAATTAGGATGTTTTTTAATTTCAATAGCCTCACGTATCATCCTTGGTAGGAATCGATGTCCTTTCGCGAGGATTTGTGGTCTATCAAATCTGATGTAATGGGTGGGGCCATCTAGAATATGATCGCAAACTGCAGACTTCCCGGAACGTTGATGCTTCACGTCAGCTATGTGTTCTTTTACGCGGGTTCTAATTGATCTCTTTGTTTGCACTATACGAGGTGTGTTCAAAAAGTAAGGTGACTTTTTGAATTTCGCGGGCAACGCACATTCGATTTTCGATTTTTGTATTTTGTTGCGTTGGTACACATGTCCTGAGCATATGTTTCAAGTTTGAAGTGTATAGCATGTTTAGTTTATTTTTGACAGTTACAAAGGTCAGACGTACTTTGGTGTGCTCGGCGATTTTCTTCTATCAAAAAAAATGGATCAAAGAATTTGCATCAAATTTTGTGTAAAAAATGGAATTACGTGCTCCAAAACACTTGAAATGTTGAAAGTGGCATACGGTGAGTCTACTCTTAGTAAAAAAAACGTTTATAAATGGTACAAGCTCTTTCAAGATGGCCGAGAAGATGCCAATGACGAACCTCGCTCTGGACGCCCCAGACACGTCAACAACCGATGAAAACGTTGAAATAGTGAAGAAAATTGTTTTGGAAAATCGTCGAATCACTATCAGAGAAGTTGCGGAGGATGTTGGCATATCGGTTGGCTCTTGCCATGAAATTTTTTCGGATATTTTGGGCATGAAACGTGTGTCAGCGAAATTTGTTCCAAAATTGCTCAATTTCGCTTTTTGCTTGTGAGAGGTTTTTTGACCAAAAACAACACTACAATCATGCCTCAGCCACCATATTCACCGGATTTGGCCCCATGTGACTTTTTCCTGTTCCCAAAACTGAAGAGACCTATGAAAGGACGAAGATTTGCAACGATTGAAGAGATAAAAACTGCATCGCTGAAAGAGCTGAAGGCTATACCAGAAAGTGATTATCAGAAATGCTTTGACGATTGGAAAAAGCGTTGGCACAAGTGTATTATATCTGAGGGGGATTACTTTGAAGGGGACAACATAAATATTGATGAATAAATAAATAGTTTTTCATAAAAATATAAAGTCACCTTACTTTTTGAACACACCTCGTATATGAGAGACCACAATCACAATTAATATAAATAAAACGCGATAAAATCCGCAAAAGTAGTATTAATCAATAGATAGTTATACTTTAAATTTCCTTATTATTAATGTCTTAGTGACAGTTTGCGATCATATTCTAGATGGCCCCTAGGGGTAGAAGGGTAATTGTTACTTACTTGGAGACTACTATGTGGATATGTGGTATAAAAGGATAAAAAGTTAGTTACAAGTTAAATACCTTTTTATAAATGTCTAAGTACATAATACATAAACACTCACGCCTGTCATCCAGAGGGGTAGGCAGAGACTACGGACTTCCATTTGGCACGATCCTGACATACCACTTTCGCCTCCTTTACATCCATATATCTACGCATACATGCTCGTCGATTAAGGGTACTTCTAACGTGGCCCATTTTCAAAATATCGCCAATCGATGGTCGATAAACTTTTTTCTAGGGCGTCCCTTCCCGACTCGGCCGTTCACATCTGCCATATAAATTTGCTTTGTCACTCTTTCCTCATTAATTCTTTATTCATGACCAAACCACCGAAGCATTCCTTTCTTCCTGGTCACAACATCATCTTGCATACCACATTATTACATACCACACAATATTAGTAGTTACATTAATGAACTGGGAATTAAAAGAAAGGGAAATGAAAGTGAACGCAAGTAAGACGAAAGTGATGGTTTTTGAAAGAGAAGTAAGCAAAACGGTATGTGAAATAAGAATAGAAGGAGAGTTAATTGAGCAAGTGGATGAGTTTGTGTATTTGGGATGTGTATTTAGCAGGGATGGTAGATATGATAGGGGTATAGAACGACGAGTAAATGCAGGGAATAGAGTGAATGGGGCACTACACTCTATTATGAAGAACCAGAATGTGTCAAAAAAGGCACGTATGCTAATTCATAATGCTGTGTTAGTCCCTACTTTAATGTATGGTAGTGAAAGCTGGGTGTGGCAGAAGAAGCACGAAAGTAGAATAAATGCTGTAGAAATGCGGTCTTTAAGGAATATGCTAGGGTTGAATCTGAATGATAGGGTGAGAAATTGTGTGATAAGAGATATATGTCTAAGTATTATAGTAATTAATGTATTTTAATAGAAAAAAATAATTATTGATTTTTTAAATTTTTACAATTAAATTTACAAACTTTAATAAAAAATGAACAACTGATCCTACATTCAATTTTCAACCTTTAACATCAGTGCAAGAAGCCTGCATAACATCACATTACAATTTGAATACATATTATTTGCACCCACATCTCAAAACAGTTATTAAAAATAGTTGCTTTATGCAGCTGGTAAGGAGACCAATGAGCCACATCGTTCATAAACTTTAAGCTTGAACTTTTCTTTAAATAAAATACATTTAAAGAAAAGTAACACTCGTAATTTTTAGTTAGTCACCAGCACACAGTTACATGGAGACTATTGTAAAACATAGAAGGTAGTTATAATTATTTAAGTTCTTTTATATAAATTTATATTATAGTAATTAATGTATGTTTTTAAAAGAGAAAAATTATTTTTATTAAATATTTGTGTTATTTTTACAATTAAATTCACAAACAATTTATAAAGAAAAGTAATAAATATAAAAAATTACCGTTACTTACATATGTGGTATAAAAGGTACAAGGCAGTTATAACTTAAGTTCATTTTTATAAATACCTCAGTATTATAGTAATATAGCAATTAATGTGTATTTTTAATAGTGAAATTCATTTTAAATACTTACTTTCTTTTTACATTTAAATTTAATTTCTAGCTTTTCTACATAATTTTTTTACCTGTAATGTTATTTAAGGGAGTTATTTGTCCAATGAGTGTCAATGTTTCTATAATGTCATAAAATAATTATTTATTAAATCAGTTCTGTGTTGTAGGAATATCTTTAACAACTACATTACGAGGCATTGTACTATTGTCGATAGTTGGTAGTTCTACTTCAGAGGGTATTTCTGTGAGATTGATTTCTGCAAATATTATGTAAGATTGTAGTTGCTATTATTACTGCCTGCATATTTGGTATTGACGAACGTAGTGTAAGAGCTACAACAGGGAAACTACATTTCCATACTCCAAATCCTCTGTAATACAAACAATTTGTTTATTAAACACCAGTATTCCCATAACACATTATATCTAATAATACTGTTTTATTTAACATACCGTTCAATGGTATTTTTAGTTTTAATGAGTGCTTCATTGTGCCTATGTTCAACTTCAGAAACTGGATTCAGAACAGGTGTTAATAAATATGGCCTGTTTGGATAGGCACTATCTCCGAGTAACCAGCGATATCCGAATTGGCCTGCATCACATTCAGCTGTTAGAAAAATAAATAATGTTAGGCTCTGACAGTATATATTCAAATTTATTGCAATTTGAATACATATTATTTGCACCTACTTTTTAGAATAGAGTTATTAAATATAGTTGCATCATGCGAACCATGGCAACAAGTCAACATTTATAAATTTTAAATCTGCATCACAAACACCTTGAACATTTAAAGAAAAGTAACCCTTCTGATTTCTGTATTCTTCACCTATTAAATGGCCTAAAATATATAAACATTATTATTAGCAACTTCATAGTTTATTCATACTTGCCAAAATTTTAAGAAGAGTTAAGTATAGTTACTTACATGGAGACTGTATGCGGATATGTGTGCCATCAATTGCCCCAAGCACACAAGGAAATCCAGCAATTCTATAGAATTTGTCTGCACTCCATCGATGAACATAAATATATTTATCTTATAATTGGGCACTGCTGATGATGTGTCGCGCAATATTCTGCCTGCTGTAGATTTTGACACTCCCAACAAAATCTGCTACAGATATCAACATTGTGCCGTAGGGTCAACAAAAGTCGATGCAATAGTGATACTCCTAATTTCTGCAAAGGATTACATAAAATGAAGTATATTATATAGATTGTAAAAAAATATCTAATTTGCTATAGACCAGCTTTGCTTTAGCTCGTGGATGTTACTCGTAATAACGGGGTTATTTCTAACAATAAGTAATTGAACGCATATTTGTTCAATCGAAACCTAAAAGTAAAATCACCGTCATCGAGACTGCGTATTGTTTACTCTTCTGATTCTCTTTGGAGGACGGCGTTGGGTTTCATCTTCATCACTCTAGTCAGATAACTGAGCTAGCATTTCCAAATCACTGTCACTGTCACTAATAGTAACGTTAAATGTAATAAAATAAAACAAAATACGTAATAGATTGGAACTCGAAGGATTAATCCTAGGCTTTTCTCGGATTGCGAAATTTGGATTGTTTACACCGATCGAACTAAACGTCAAAATTGACAGATAGGTTTTTGATACACACAATTTTTTTATTAACTGGCTTTACGGCTCTGGGTTCTAGTGCTTCTGAGCCTGAGTTCATTTCTTTCAGAATCTTCATTTTTATATTTTTTTCTTCACAATATGCTGATACGTCATATTGCAAAGCCCTTAGGAGATTTTGGCGACAGCTCAACGCAGCGGACAGTTAATGACGACAGACACTCAAGTTCATAAGGCACCCAAGCGATCAAAATAACTTGAGGTTTATATCGACATCAAAGCACTTGTTTCGTCGTTTTCTCTAATATTTCACAGGCGCGGACACTTAATTCACAAAATCGCATCACTTTTACGAATCAAAATCCACTTCAAACCATTATTCAAGCGACAATCCGTCTACGACTAAGTTCCCGCCAAAACTCCTGATACACACAAATTGTCATTCACCCACAGAGGCATGAAGGTTAGAGAACAGGAGAACGATCGCAGTAGAAAATAGTGTCCCATAAATATCCAAAGTCCTTTTTAAAGAAATAAATAATATGTGTGTTCAGACCCAGCATCAAATATGGTTACTTCTTCATGCAGGCCCAAGTCCTTTAAAAAGGTTCAATTTTAAAATCACGTTTTTTGAATTCAAATGGACCGCCAAATAAATATTTGACATTTAAGTCGAACCTGGAAGACCTATTTAATCTGTTACCGGAAGTCGTAATTATTGGTTTAAAAGTTGACCTCGTGACGCCATTTCTTTTTCGACACGATGGCTGACTTTAGGAGACAGGGTGAGTAAATCTTAAAATCTTTCTTTATCCTTGTGATCAGACATATCAGCACGGTTTAGTATACAAAAATATGTGTGGCTATATGTTTTCCTTAATTATATTAAATACTTTTTTCATTTTACTATCGAAAATGATGCATTTAATTAAAACAAACTTTTTGATACTTTAAAAAGTACCGCGGGCTTTTATACCAAAAAACCCGTATTATTTTAGACCGTTTACTTAAGATGAAGTGCACGTTAAGTTAATGAGTTAAACTAAAATACTTTTTTTGAAAATTTATTTAGGTAGGTACCAAATATTATTGTTGTTTGTAGTCTATATTTAATTAACAAAAAAATAACTCTTTTTTTTTTCAGGAGTAAATGACCAACAAATAGTTGATTTACTTGTTGATTCAGAATTTGAAGATGAAGCAGCTGATATCAATGAAATTGATGATGGGCTGATGGCAGGCATTTCTAGTGTGTTATCACGAGATAAAGATTTGTTAGATTCAGGGTCCTCTAGTGTCAAGAGATCGGAATTGGAATCAAGTGATTCAGATTCTCAGTCCAAACTTTCCGACAATGATATGACTCCCGCACCTTCATTACAAAGAAAAGGACGAGATCGTGGCATGCAACAATGTGGAGCCATGCGACGTTCACGCGGAATTACATCGCGAAGATAACCAATAATAGGAACGTGCCAGCGTCATCTTCATCTGATGTGAGACATTGTGAGTTGTCAATGAAGAATTTTAATCCGCGTTATTTCGCGTATAAAACCCTCATATCTACCGATTGATGCAGATTCATTTACTGATTTTACTTTGAGCCCTATATCGATGACGAAATAATGAAGCTAATAGTATTGAAAACTAATCAAACTTTCTTATCAAAATATGGCAAGTGCCTTGGTCTCACTACCAATGTATTGCATATATTTATATATTGGCATAACTTTAGCCATGTTATGCATTCAGTGTCTTCTTCTTGTGAAGAGTATTATTTTTTAAATTTTAATAAATGTTGATTTTCTTCATAAAAATTGTGTTTTTATTTATATCATTACAACCCAAAGTCCTACAGATAGTGTAAATTTTTGGTACCTACTTATCAAAGAACCAAATATATGAGGTCTATACTTTACAAATCGGTCCTTTGGTAAGTTATAAAGACACTAATAAACTATATTTAAAATATTTTCTGATTAGATGCTAAACCACTTGCACATCTACGTACAATAAAATAATTATCCATTTTTTAATCTTTCTTTATGTCAAAAATTGCAAAATTACGGAGCATGAAAATTTTCTTGCCAATGGCGTGGAGAAAATTTGTACATTATTCAACTAACTTCATCTACTTGTACTCATAAACAGCTAACTTCGCAGTCACTACTCACCAACGTCAGCGCCGCTATAAATTCTACAATTTTCAAGGACAAGCGGGTTATGATTTAGTACTTAGTGATCGTTCTCATGTTCTTTAAACTCCTTGCACAGAGGTCTATATTTTTTTGTAATACGACCTCTCGAGGACAGCTTGCTTCTACAGATTGTAATCTTAATCCCTGGATTGGTTGTTTGCACTGTCTAACCATAAAATGAATTGAATTATCAATCTTGGATAGCTAAAAATAGATTAAGATCAAATATTAGGTTCGGGCGTATATCGTTCATATATTTATTTTTGCATTTCCCACAGCCGCGACCTCTGAAACCTAAGACATGACATGGGGTGAAATTTTTTTACGCCGCAACCATACAGCTGGCCTTTTTAAATAATTCATAAATGGCTTAAATAGTAAAATAATTTATACCTGGTAGAGCAACGCTGCAGTTATATTGTAGTTGCAACACGAATGAGTCGGCTCAACCGGGGTAGGACTACGCTCTAACAGAATACCAGCGTAAATTGCCAGCTTAAAGCTATAGTGTTTATTATGGTGAGTGTAGAGAACCGTAGATACTTTTCACTGAAAATGAGACATCTCAATCAATTCATTTCAATTTCAATCAATTTAATTCTTAATTAAGGATAAATTTAGATGTCTATAATAGGCCGCAGCATCCACTTACTATGAGCTGGACTGTGTGCTAGCTTATTACCCTTATTCTATTAAAAATAGGCTTAATGATGAGACGTGAATTTAAGAACAGCTTAAGGATTTATTAGGCGTTAGCGACAGCTACATAGTACGATCTCGACTGAAAATGTTGATTTATAAACTTTTAAAGCAGATATCAAGGTAAAAGCAAAACAAACTGTTGTTGAGATAAACAAGCTTTTGTTAAATTTAGCCAAGACTTGATTAAAGACTTAATAAATATTATTGCATAACTTACAGTCAGAAATTATTTTGACGATATCTAGAATTTAAGTTGAGAAACTCCCTACATTACATTAATCCCACCAAAGCATAAACGTGAAGAAGGAGCCAAGTTTAGTATACGAGGGTGGATTGAAAAGTACTCGGCCTAACCAAGAAAATAAACACATACTAAATCAGTTATATTTTTATTTTTCTACATAATCACCATCAAGTTCAATACACTTTTGCCACCTCCCCTTCCAAGCATTTAGACCGTTGAAAAAAAATGATTCTTCCTTAGAGTCAAAATATGCGTCTACAGCCGCTTTGACCTCGTCGTTTGTCGAAAATCTTTGACCTCCCAAGTGCTTTTTTAGGTTAGGGAACAGAAAGAAGTCTGATGGTGCCAGATCAGGTGAATACGGCGGATGCGGTAACAGTTCAAAGCCACAGTTGTGAATTTCAGCCATTGACTGTACTGACGTGTGAACACGGGCGTTATCTTGATGAAACAGGACTTTTCTTCTGAGCATTCCTCGACGTTTTTCTTTTATTTCCTCTCGTAAACGACGTAGTAAGGTGCAGTAGTAATCAGAGTTTATAGTCTGACCCCTTTCAAGATAATCAATCATAATCACACCTTTCGAGTCCCAGAATACTGAAGCCATCACCTTATTTGCCGACAAAATCGACTTAGCCTTTTTTAGGGGTGGTGAACCAGGTCTTCTCCACTGTTTTGATTGTTATTTTGTTTCCGGTGTACAGTAATGAACCCATGTTTCGTCCATTGTAACAAAACGATTCAAAAAAATAATCTGCATCGGCTTCAAATAACTCCAAACAGTCGCGTGAAATAGTCAATCGCGTCCTTTTTTGTTCAACTGAAAGCAGTCGCGGAACCCACCTCGCAGACACCTTGTGGAAACCCAACTCGTTGACAATGATGTTTTGAGTTCGTTCATAAGAGATGCCTATAATCTCGGCTATCTCTCTAATTTTTAATCTGCGGTCTCCCATTATTAAATCAAGTACTTACTTTTTTAATATTTTCGTCAGTAGTTGACGTCGAAGGCCTTCCAGAGTGGGGTTCATCTTTCACACTCTTTCTACCACGCTTAAATTCTGCTATCCATTTTTTGACGGATGAATATGACAGAGCACAATCGCCTAATGTACTGACCATGTCATCATGGATGGCTTTTGATGATAGCCCCTTCTTATGGAGGTACTTAATGACGGCAAGCTGCTCGATTTGCTCCATTCGCGGAAATTATGTCCGATTACTTTGTTAATAAATTTATAAAATCACAACTAATTATCGCACACGTTTCGAACTTCACACAATGAACTAGTCTGAACTGAACTAAATAATGTGGGTAGATTTGATTTTTAGAATTGAATGGATCTGTGTTAGGCCGAGTACTTTTCAATCCACCCAGGTACAACGTTGTTCGTATCGGGGCTGTCGGCTCGTCGATAAAAGAGATTAAATCTGAACTAACGCCAAGCTCCAGGTGAGATTGTAGTTCAATAGATTTTTTTACTATTATAAGCTATTACTTGACTACTATCCCACCTGATGGTAGATGGTGATGTAGCCGAATGTTGTAAAACATACTGACTTAACAAAAGCCTATTTACTCTTTCCTTGCAGATGCCCACATTATAAGCAAATGGAAAGATAAATGCTGGTACTTCTTTGCTGTACGCATGACGAACGATGAAGTGAACCATTTGATTAGAATCCGTTGTAAGTCTATAATAAGACTGGCCGAGTGCCTGTTTGTCTGATGGTGCAAGGGAGTGGGAGGAATTAATTTATGCAATTTTCTGAGCACACTCTCCAAGTACACTATGCTGTATAATAATACATTCTGTATAAAACGATATACAGGCTACTTTGTACCTGTGTTCGGGATTGGTGAGATTTGTTTTACCAGATTAGTCTTACTATACCCTTCCATTGAGTCCAAAGTTCCTACGTGGCATTTTGCAGCCCATATATGGCAGATACACTGAATGCACGACTGGAATTGTGCTTTAGAAAGAGGAAGCAGTTGTCCCGGCGTAAAAACCCGCCGCATCTTTGCGAAGATTCCTAACTTCCTTGCAGCTGCTTAAGCCTTGAACTCAATGAACGGCCGAAGTTCAGGTTATAATTAACCCGTAACAACTGAAGGGGGTCAGTATATTCTAGTGATATATTTCGGAAAGAAAGATCCGAGATAAGCTGGCTCCTTTTTCATTAAAAATAATCACAAAATTTGTATCACCTAAGCCGGAGACTGCCCGAGTGTGTATTCAAGCGCTTAACTATAGCTTATTTTTTCTACTGGATTTGACCCCGAATGGCCCGTGCACTCGGTTGGTATCTTTCAACAAGAGTGCTGTCGTCTGCATACCCATAGATGTCAGGCGTATACGCGCTAAAACTGAGGCGCTAGAAGTCATTAACATGCACCAGGAAAAGAGTTCCAAGGAGAAAGTATCCCTGGTGAACTCCGGCGTTCGTCGCCATAGAATCGGTTGAACAGCCACCGAAGGGGAATCGAGAACATTCACTCAGAATGTCCTCCACCCAGTTAACAGGTCAGGAGATAAGCCGCACGCGGGTTAGATCCCTGTACCAATGAAATTTTAACTGCAATTTTAAATGCTGATTTTCCACATGATCGGCGGTGAAGGAAAACATCATGAGGAAACCTGCATGAAAAAAAATTCTAAGTCATGTAAATTTCGCCAAATGAGAGAAGTCCTGTGCCCAGCAGTGAGACATATACAGGCTGTAACTTTAATGGGGGGTTTGAAATGTAGCTCGAAAGGGTTCCTGTAAATGTACTACTTATTTTACTAATATATTTCAATACATCCCCGTTGCTTACTTCAATAGTCCATAAATACTGCTGTCCTATATAAATACTACGCAAATACTGCTGTCCTACCTAAAAAAGTAAAAATGGCGACTCTACGGTGCCTGAATTAAATGACTTCATTGACACTCGACAAACGTGAAAACTAGTGTCAGCAACACTGAACTTCGTAGAAACGACATGATGTAGGTGGAACTCGGTGAAGATGCGGTGGATAAACTTCGAAACTCGGTCTATGTGTCTATGGTCTGTGTTTATTGTTTAGGGTCGTGTAAGTAATCTCACCACAAATCACTTACGAGAATAAAATATATTTAGGCAAATTTTTTCTAAAACTATTGAATTTTATAACGCAGAAGTATTTAAAGCAGATAGAATCACAGAATCTTATTCAAGTTTCTAAAAAGTACTTCACAAAGCAAAAATGATATGATACGTTAGTCACGTCAATGGAAGTTCGTGACATGTATTCAATGATTGCTGGGCAAAAGCATCTTGAGTTTGA